ACAGAGCGAAGTTTAGGGCTGTTGTACATAGGGTTGCTATGAGTCGCAAGCGACTTGTCGGCACATAACAACAACAACAACAACAGGGTGCTTAGGAACTGCATGTTGGGTCACAGCTGGATAATAACAGAGCAGTTTATCTCCCTAGAAAAAATTATGTCTTCCAAAACTGCCTCAGATTCATACTTAAAAATTTTACTTTAGAAGCATTTGACTCTTTGATCAATTACAGAGTAGAACAGAATCACAATCCTTCATTTGAAATGGGAAGAATTTTCTCCTCTTTTGTTAAGGACCCATTGGAAAGAATAGGCACAGATGTTTCCAGAATATGTGACCAGAACGCACTCAGAATCTTTCTGTCTTTTTTTTTGTGTACAGGCCACAGAAGTTGTACAACTCGGGCCCCCAGAGCTGCTTTTTTTGCTTGACGATCTCTCCCAGAAGCTGGAGCACATATTGATGCCTGCTGCCAAGAGAATCCCATTCAAGGTTAGTAAGTGCACAAATACATGCAGGTTAGTATGTACGCATGCAGGTTAGTAAGTACACATGTGGGTCAGTAAGTGCACATGCGAGTTAGAATGTACACATGCGGGTTAGTATGTACACACGCGCATTAGTAAGTACACACGTGGGTTAATATGTACACACGCAGGGTAGTATGTACACACGCGGGTTAGTATGTACACATGCGGATTAGTAAGTACACATACGGGTTAGTAAGTACACATGTGGGTTAGTTTATACACATCATGCGGGTTAGTATGTACACATGTGGGTTAGTAAGTTCACAGACAGGTTAGTAAGTACACATGCGGGTTAGTAAGTACACAGGGGGGTAATAAATACACACCCAGTTTAGTAAGTACACGTGCAGGTTAGTACACGTGCAGGACCAGGGCTTATTAGATGAATAAGTTATCAGGTGAATAAGTTATTGCCTTCTCTACCGTTGTGTTTGGGCAGCTGGGTAGGACAGTGGCAGCCTCATTCCCAGCCTACATTTATTCTGCTTTAAAGAGGAACTCTGAAGTAGAGAAAATGAAAAAGGTACCCAACACAAGAGAGGAATTCTGGTCTTAGCTCAGACTGTACTAAGCTAGTGCACAAGCTCAGTAGTGAATTGTCTCGAGGAGGGTAAACCTCAAAAATGGACTTGGTGTCTAATGAAGCTGCTGCTTTTGTTAAGTGCTGTCAAGCTGCAGGCAGCTCATAGCAACCCCATGAACAGAGTCCTGGACCTGGACACTTCCTGTGTAACTTTCATCCTCTCTACAGGTTCGTAGGGTTTCCAGAGCCAAGCTACTGTGGAAGTGGGTGCCACTCCTGCTTCCAAGCTTGTTTTATTCAGGGAGCTTCACCAAACACTGTCCACCACGGGTAACAGTATTCGGCTTCACAGCCACCACGAGTTACCTCTGTACAACAGGTGGACATGAAGATGAAAGCCCAAATATGAACATTTAAAGATTTGTACAATTAGTCATTTAGATATTGTTTGGGGGGTTTGGGGTGTTTTTTTTTTTTTTTACTATTTCCTCAACCTGTGTTTCTATTTTTGTCTGAACTTTATCCCATTAATTATTGTACGTCTGTACCTCTCAATTCAATACTATTCTTAACCAAAAATCCCCTTTCTCCATTATTTGAAGATAGAGCAGAATATTTATCCTTATATCAGAATATTAGGGAACTTTAATGGCCTAGCAGTAAGAAACTGCATTACAATTCTGAAGGCACACAGTTTGAATCCACCAGCTGCTCTACAGGGAAAGATGGGTAATCTCCTGTGCTATTACTTGCTTCTGAAATCCCACTGGGGGGTCAGCTGTGAGTTGGTTCCAACTGAATGGTACACACCAGCGACAATCAGAATATAGTTCTGAGCAAGTAGGTAATTTCTCTCATCCACTCCTGCTTCGTGACATAAGTTTGACCAAATTTCATATTGAGCTTTTGTCATCAGAAAAGTTAACACTCTTCCTTTTTCAGTAACTCTGAATTTATTGTAGAGTAAAGGAAGCTGGAATATTGGATTGTCACATCTCCATCAGAGGTCCGCTGAAGAAGTTGCTCACTGTATTGTTCAGCTGCTGGCACCCATGTGTAACCATCTGGAGAACATTCATAACTATTTTCAGGTCAGAAGCTATTAAAGAGACTTGGAAATCACTAAGAACAAGAATTCATTTTTAACTGAGAGAAATGGAAAGAAAATTAGGGCAACTACTGGAACTGCCTTTTCTCTTCTCCTCTCTTCTCCCTCTCCCTCTCCCTCTCTCTCTCTCTCCCCTTCCCATCTTAAAAGAGTTTTTCTGTTTTAGTTCTTAGCTGGTGAGACTCATGAAGTAGTGGATGGACCAGGAACAAAGGTTGAGGAGTACCAAATAATGTCTTCTTGCTATCAGAGGCTACTGCAGATATTCTGTGGGCTATTTGCATGGTGAGTATGTGGGAAGTAGCCACAGACGAGTAAGTATGTACTTGCTGTAGGGAGCTCTGGTGGCATAGTCCGTATGAAGTTGTATCATTTACCTAAAGGCTGTGTGTCCATGGCAGTTCACACCTATCACGGGAGAAAGCTAGGCTGTTCTCCCATTGGGATTTACAGCCTCAGAAACTCAAGAGAAGGTCACTGTAATTCAGAACCTACTCAAAGTCTTTGAGTTTTGCTTTTACTTTATGATCCGTCACCAAAGACCCAAAACCTTATGTAAACATGGTGCCTTATAGTAGCTTTTGGCTGCATTGTTATATTTGATCTTTATGAGACTGATAGGCTTGGTGTTTTTAACCCATTTGACAGTTGAGTCCTTTGTACTTAGCCTGTGACAGATCCAGCCATATGTTGTCCATTATTCTTAGCTTGTTTGCTTTAGCAAGCTGTCTTCAGGTAACATTGAGAAATTGTTACTTTTAAAAGTTGTGACTAAGTGCTTGATTGCTTCTCCCTTTCCTCTGTTGACTTATGATGGTACAGATTGGAGGTCAGGATCCTCAAATTGCTAGATAGAAAAAGTGCTGAGAAAGAGAGGAGAAATAGCTGGTTCCAAGTAACAAACAGGCCTTTATTAAGTAGACCTGAGAGGGATGCCAGGTGACCTTGTGCAGAAAAGATGAGAGTGATGCACAAATAGATCTTTTATTGGGCCTGCTACAGAGATTTAGAGGGGATGGTAGTTTGTTCAGGAATTTGGGGGCAGGAGTCTTGTCAGGATGTGATCAGTCCCAGGGCCTTATCAGAATCTGCTCAACCTTTATCAAAATATTGTCAAATTCCTCAGCCCTGGGGGAGCTGTGACATTCTCCCTCCACAAATACTAAGTAAGCTTCCTGGAACTGAGCTAAGCCAACTACCTTGGATTTCCTTTAGGACTGGATTTTTTCAACCTGAAAATCATAGCTTGCTCTGCTCAGCCCTTGAGGTATTTGCTAGCCGACTGAAGCAAAGAGAACAAAACCAGCCTATGGAGGAAATGCTCAGGTGAGTCAGAGGGCATCCCCTGAGGGTTGTCCTGAGAAACTGTTATGAACACTGGGCAGGATGCCTTGAAAAGAACAGGTTTCTCTTAATAGTTGTGAAAGAAAATTCCTAGTCTTAGCAATAGCAATAAGACAAGAGAAGGGAATAAAAGGTATCCAAATAGGCAACGAGGAGGTAAAATTATCCCTCTATGCTGATGACATG